CGGGTCGGGTAAAGAGCACAATCGGGCAATTTGTGACATGTCAACCCGCGAAAGGTGGTTTGTGTGAGGGAGGAGAAATCGAAGGAGAAGATCAGGTTTCAGCAGAGGCCAGGCAAATCACGAGCACAGAAACCGCTGAACAGGCTGAGCGGGCTCTATTGAAGGGGTTAGAAGCAACAAAGGAGGAAATGGAGACAAATTGACGTGGGGAAGGGGAGAAAAATGATGGTGAAGATGAGGATCAGAGAAGAAGAGCAATCTGGAGAAGGAAGGAGATGAGAGTCTGGCCCTAGTTCCAATGTGTGAGGACGATGGGAAAGACAGTCAGATGGGAAGAGAAGGTAGATCGGTGGAAAGGGAAGAAAGGTGAGGAAGGGAGGGAGTGAAAGAGACAATTAGGGACTTAATTGAAAAAGAATATTCTGAGTGGAAATGAGAAATATTCAAAAAATCAGTCACAGGGGCTGTCTTCTGATGATATAGAGGATCATGCCATGGATCTTTTCATGGAGATTGAGTGGAGTAGAAAGGAGAAATCAGAAGAGAAGGCAACTTCCAACTAAAGGCCAAACAAGGCGTGGAGGCATCCAGGGTGCTAAGAAGATTACAATCAAGCATAAACTATGATTGTGTTAGGAGGGAGAGGAAGGAAGGGGGAAGCAGCGAAGTTACTAATTCAAGACATGATTAAGAAGATTATTTTCTAGAATGTCAAGAGACTCGATGATCATAAAAAGAGCCAAGTAATAAATGGGTGTATGAGTAGATAGAGACTGGATATCATATGTATGTAGGAAACAAAAATGGAAAATATGCAAGCCAGGATTATTTGTACTATTTGGATAGTAAAGAATGTGGATTGAAGAAATTTACCCACTGTGGGTTCAACTAGTGAGATCGTGATTATGTGGGATGATGATAAAGTGAAATGTGTGGATTGCAATAGGGGCGAGGGTTCACTTGTCTGTTTGAGATCAAGAGGAATTGGTTATGAGTATTTATAATAAAGGGGAAGGGAGTGAAAGAGCTGCATTATTGAGAGATTTAGAGGAGTGCAAGCGGAGGTGGAATTGCCCTTGGATTGTGGACTGAGAGTTTAATATGATGCTGAGTAGACATGAAGAAACTGGATCTCGGTTTTCCACTATGTGGATGAATTTAAGGAGATTATGGAGAGATTGGAATTTGTTGAGTTACCCTTAACAGGAGGAAAATGGACTTGGTCCAACCAGAGGACTAATACAATGTACTCTCGTACTGATAGATTTTTGGTGTCAACATCACGCCATTTTCATTTTGCAGGTATTTGCCAGGAGCAATTGCCGAGGGTTATATCTGATTCTTTTCCTATTAACCTGGAGTTTGATGGGATCAAGTAGGGACTGTGTCCGTTCAGATTTGAAGATAGATGGTTGAACACTAAAAATTTCAATGGAAAGATAGATGAGTGATGGAAGAGTAATGAGATTAACTGTAAGGCCAGCTTCAGAGTGGCGCACAAGCTTAAGGCGATTAAATTGGCTATCAAGAAATGGTGTAACAAGGAAGAATAGAAAAATGCATAGACACAGAAGTATTTATTCAGGAAATTGCTGCCTTTCATAGTATGGAAAGTGAGAGGGGATTGTCCGCTGAAGACATGGTTAGAAAGGAAGAGTTAAAAATAGACCTGACGCTCAAATTGTAGAGAGATGAACTAGATTGGAGGCAAAATTTGAGAACTAGACGGATAAAGAAAGGGGATTGCAACACGAGATTTTTTCATGCATGGCTAATCATCACAAGTGGTGCAATTATGTTGAAACCATAGTGATTAATGGCAAGGAAGTGTACGGTAATGAGGAGTTGAGAGGTAAGGTAAGGAATATTTTAGAAATCTGTATTATGAAGAATTTGAATGGAGATCTAAGCTTGATGACATCAATTTTAACATGTTAGATGAGATGAGTAGAGGGTCACTTGAACAGGAGTTTTACGAAGAAGAAGTCTATGAGGGTCATGCGCAATGCAGCAAAGATAAAGCTCCTAGGCCAGATGGTTTTAACATAGGCTTCCTGCAAAAATTCGTGTATGTAATTGAAAATGATATCATGGAGCTTGTCAAAGACCTATAGGAAGCAGATGCTCTTGTGAAATCTCTCAATTCTACATTTCTGGTACTAATTGCCAAGGTGGAGGAGGCAGCAAACATTAAGGAGTTTCAGCCTATCATATTGGTAGGATGTGCCTATAAACTTATAGCGAAAATCCCTTTAAGGAGAATGGTTAAAGTGCTTAACGAAGTGGTTGGGGAGAACCAACATGCATTTGTGGAGTGAGTGACAAATCATAAATGTGGTGTTGATAGCCAATGAAGTTTTGGATAAGCATTTGCTCAAGAAGAAAGACATGGTGTTATGTAAATTGGATATGGAAAAGACATATAGAGGCAGTGGATCAGAGCTTGTATAACAACTTCTTTCACGGTGATGGAGAATGGGGGCCCTTTCGGAATTTTTCAAACCATCGAGATGCATAAGACAAGGGGATCCACTCTCACTTTTGTTATTCATAATTGTCATGTTGGCTCTTAACAAGTTGTTGGTGAGAGATAGGGAGACGGGTGATTTCCAGGCTCAAGGTGGGTGAAAGAGAAAGGGAAGAGGAGACACATTTATTCTTTGCAGATGACACTTGGATTTTCTGTCAACCGGATGAGAGGCAATTGTTAAACCTTATATATGTCTTGTCCTGCTTTCAAGTTGTATTTAGACTTAATATAAATATGGCCAAATCCAAGATGGTCAGATTGGGAAGTGGGGATAATTCTAGAAGACTAGTAAGTACTTTGAGATGCAAAATGGTGAATTTCCCAATGAAGCATCTAAGTATGTCGTTGGGTGCTAAATGTAACA